AGTTAGAGATTTTGTATTCTGTGCCCAGTTTTGTGGATGTATACTATTGGCAAGTGATCTATTTCGGATGATAAATAGCATAGGAATAACACTTTAGAATGTCACTATTGACTTGTTTTCAAGAGTATTAAACCTTTAACTTTCTATCATGTGAATGCATATGCATTTTAAATTTCTTCTAAGGGAGGTAACTTAAAGAGAAAGACTATTTAAAATTCACTTCTAGTTTATAAACATTTTCCTAAAATACTATATTTATATGCATAATTCTGTGTGTATATATTTAAAAAAAAACCCAAACAATTGTTTTCTGTGTTTGTAACACCATGAGAGAATTCTTGCTGTTGGCATGTTTTTAGAACATGAGTAAGAACAGAACAAGAGTGAAACCTCTCTGTGGAAGATTTAGGAGTAAGTAGTCTATGTTCCAAAGAGCTTGTTTAAAGGACATCTTGTCCCTTGAAGCTACAGAGAAAAGATGCGCCAGGTTTGTAGCAACAAGTTGTTTTTTTCCTTGATGTAGATTTATTCGGAAGAAAGCAAATTTCAATACAGAACTAGGGGAAGATGATAAGGGGGATTGAGCAAGAGAAAGGAGGACAGGTGTGGAAAAGTGCTGTTCTGAAAAGACTGGGTAGGATAATAAGATTGTAGCAAAAACCTGGTTGGTAGAAGACACCTGAAATATTAAGCTTTAATACTCATTTACTTTCATTTATACCTCAAGCTAATGCTGTGCTTCAATCATTCTTGAGTATTAGGGCTTGAGCTGATCAGATTGTGACGTTAGGTGCCATATGTGCTGGCAGAAAGCAATATAGTGGGGTTGTCCAAAGATGCAGCTTGAGCTCTAATCTTGAGTTTCCCTGCTGTTCTTTGCTTTTTAATTATTATTTTTTTTTAGTTGTACACATACCACTGAATGTCAGAAAAGCTGGTATGTTTCATGGAGGGTGATGTGTAAGCCTATGTATATTTGTAATTTTATGATAGTGTTACAGTGCTGCTTATTATTTTGGCAGCATAATGCTTATGAGAGAAGTCTGAGCTCAGCCTAAAAAAACATCAATTAAGTGAAAATCTTCTCTAGTAGGTTTACTGTTCTTTTCTAGCTATTTGTCCAAGGGGAGTGTTGCTCTGACAGCAAACAAACACTAAATATTTTCATAATATTGTTAATGTATGAGCTTATAGATGTACTTAAAATCTTCTTCAGAAGTTTAGTATGCAAGTTATGTTTGGATATTATATTACATTATATTTTTCTTAGCAAGATCCCAAAAATGTTGTTAGTAGTCCTATATCAAATATGGAGTTTGCGGATCATCTTTTATTGTAATTTATATGGGTAATATAAGTAAAGTAAATGAAGTTAAGTGTTAGAATTGGCAAAAGCTTTATGTTCAGGACAAACCTGTTCTTTTAAAACTGCAATGGAAAATGGACAAACCTGTTCTTGCAGATGCTAAATTATACTTAATGCAGTTGTACTCTTTAAGCAAAGTACTGAGTATTATGCTTGGTTTTCCATCAATAGAATATATAAATAATTATTTTTAAGACAATCTTGAAGCTATGTAGGATGGCTTCCTGTTTAGACATGAGTCCAGTAGATCCAGTTGAAAAGAAAGGTGGACTTGTTTTTCCTTTCCTTCAAAGGGAGTCTTAGTCTGAATTTTTCTAATAGTTTTCTGATGGAGAGTCTCAATATAGCTTTCTCCAGGTTTTACTTTGCCTTTTGACAAGGAAGTTAATTTAATTTATATAAAAAACACCAGTGCCATAAAGCATAATAAAATAGAAATGTAAATGCATTAGATGAGGTTGGGAATTAAGATGCTAATACTAAACTGCTGGTTAAATTTGTGTTAATTTTTTTTTTTCCTTCAGTGTATAAGGGTAGGGTTGATTTATTTTTTTTCTCTGGGACCAAAAATCCATATTCAGTTGCTAAAAGGGAAGTTGAAACAGTGCAAATATGTAAGGAAAAAGCATCTTTCTACAAGTTCTGGCTTTGGATTTGTATGTCTATCTGCTTTCTTTCCTGCAGCAAAGCTTTCTGCAAGCCAGATTTAAATTTTTTCCTTTGACTGTACTAGCTGAGAGTGGGCACGTGGCCTCTGGGTGTGTCTTACATGAGACCCATCAAAATACTTGGTGATTGGAGTCTTCTGTGACTAAAATGAGAATTAAACCCAGCCATTTTTAAAAAGAAGTTAGGCCATTTCATCTGGCAGAATCAAATCTCTCTTGGTCCAAAATAAATGATGCTATTACAATCGAATGCTTTCCTAGTCAAACGTTCTGGCAAAAACTTACTTGGAAAAAAAGATGGCATAAAACTGCGAGGAAGATGAAAAACTTGGGGATTTAGATGACGTAGAACAAAAACCCCTATTATGAAGACCTAATTTTTTGTATCCCTTCGGGTTCGTTAACATTGGTTTATGATGAACAGTGAGAATTTTCACTGAAATATTTGTCTCTTCCCCTCTTCTCTGGTACATAATTAATTTCTCGTTCATTCTTTGAGGGTCTTATTCAAACTCATTATACCTGTTCTTTGCTTTCTTCTTACCAGTGCATCTTTCCTAATATGGGGTAGATAACTAGCTGAGAGACTCCAGTTTTCCAAGGCCAAGGTATCTGGAGGCTGCATCGCCTCGTCAGCTTGTGTTTGGAGTTGCATTACCCACAGTTGGTTGTCTCTCAGCATCGTAGTTACTGCATTCCCACATAAGTAGATGGCTGTGTGAGGGAATAAAGTAGTATTTTTTTCCCCTTTTGAATTAAAAGGGGGAGCAGCTGGGGTAACTGTAACTTACTACTGTGGTCATCTCCTTTTATTCATTTTTCTGAACACATTCCACTGTCTCTCCTTGTTCCTGGGGATATCACCTCCTGCTGACAGTTTATCACTTATGCTGGCTTCTTCCCTGTTCTTTGGTGCGCTCTTAATGACTTTAAGTCAGGTTAAGACTTTGCTACTGCCGGAAAGCAAAGCTCCGTCAGTTCCTCATGTCCGTGTTAGTGCCCTTGTGTCCTCGGGGTGAATAAACGTTTAACCAGCGGCTGCATGGGGGGAGTGCTCTGGCTGACCCTATAGCTCCACTGCGGGTGCCGTGAAGTGGCTGGGGACCTGTGGCTGAGAGCAGAGCTGAGATGAGGGACCAGTCCCTTCTGCACTAGCAGGGACTTGAATTGCATTTTTCCTCATGTGAAATGGCGCTCTAGCTCTTTTTTTTTTTTTTTTAAGAGCTCCTGATCATAGAATCATAGAGTGGTTAGGGTTGGAAGGGACCTCAAAGATCATCTAGTTCCAGCCCCCCTACCATGGGTAGGGAAAACCTCCACTACACCAGGTTGCCCAAAGCCTCATCCAGCCTGGCCTTGAACACCTCCAGGGATGGGGCACCCACAACTTCTCTGGGCAACCTGTTCCAGTACCTCACCACCCTCAATGTAAAGAATTTCTTTCTTATATCTAACCTAAATCTGCCCTCTTTCAGTTTAAATCCATTGCCCCTTGTCCTATCACTACACGCCCTTGTAAAAAGTCCCTCTCCAGCTTTCCTGTAGGCCCCCTTTAGGTACTGGAAAGCTGCAATAAGATCACCCTGGAGCCTTCTCTTCTCCAGGCTGAACATCGCCAACTCTCTCAGCCTGTCTCCACAGCAGAGGTGCTCCAGCCCTCTGATCATCTTCGTGGCCCTCCTCTGGACTCGTTCCAGTAGCTCCATGTCCTCCTTGTGTTGGGGACTCCAGAGCTGAACACAGTATTCCAGGTGGGGTCTCACGAGAGTTGAGTAGAGGGGCCGATTCACCTCCCTCGACCTGCTGGCCACGCTCCTTTTGAATACAGCCCAGCATACGGTTGGCGTATACTGTTGATGAGGCAGTGCTACATGGCTTGACTGTGTTGTAGGGTTTCTCCCCACATCCCCAGGTAGTTTTCAGCAGATCAGCTTGGGGCCTACAGCTGCAAAGTGTTTTTAAGGTTAAAAAAAATTAAAAATGTAGACCAGCTTCTACTTTAAGTCGGACTTAAGGAACCATACAAGACTTAGCCAGAACCAGAATTTATTTTAGGTTTCCTGAGAGAAGTACATGCTACAACTTTCATGTCCTTCAAGGAGTTGTGCTGCAAAGGTGCTTGGGTGTCGTATCCATGAGAGCTTTAAACAAGCTGACTGCTGGTAGCCAGGGCCTTGGCCTGTCACTGCCTGGCTGCATCTTCCCACTTTTCCTTCCTGCTGTCTGGAGAGCTGGTTAGGCTGTTGAGCCACTTCAGCACATGAATGAGCTGGTGGAAGAGCTAACCCAATGGATGAAAGTGAGGAATGCTAAGGAAGGGCCAGGAACACGTGGCTGAAGGCATGGGACTGAATGGGACTCTCCTAGTCAGTGGTCAGACTGGTTTAGGTCACCTTGAGTTTGCAGCTTTAGATTCTTCATAAAATGCATAGACAGAAATCGGTGTCCTTATGAAGGAAGAATTAAAAGCCTTCACTTAGTCACCATATGCTACTTCAAAAATAGATGGGGGGAGGACTGCATTTTTAGTGTGCTGTGCTTTTTGTGTGTGTTTTGAAACATTATCTTTATACGTAAGATCTCTAGATAATGATATAGTAGCTGGTTTGGTTTTATGCTCTTTGAACTTCACTGTTTGCATTTCAGACAGGAAAATTTTGTGTGTTGCAGACTTGGTAACCACAATATTTTCACATTGCAGGAGGATTTGTTTATCTGGGCCCCTATATATGCATAGGACAGAAATAAAAAGATGTAGATGGATTCTTAGGTCTTATTTGTGGCTTCATAATCAATCTCTTAAAATCAGTTTCCTAATCTTGTCTGTGTAATTTTTGTAATGCTACAATATTTTATCCTGTAAAACTGTATTTAGTTTTTTAGTAGCCAACATTTGTTCACTAAGCATAAAGTAAGATATTGATCACAGCTGAAGTTCTGTCTCTTTTTCCTTTTAGGCTGCCATCATGACAGCTGAAGAAACAGTGAATGTGAAAGAAGCTGAAATAATTAAACTCATACTTGATTTTCTGAACTCAAGGAAACTTCACATCAGTATGCTGGCGCTTGAGAAAGAAAGTGGGGTCATTAATGGCCTGTTTTCAGATGACATGCTTTTTCTAAGGTAGGACTTCTTTCTGTGGTGCTTAAATACCACATACATGAAAACATACAGTTGGACTGTGATTCAGTGGGCAGCCCCGTGCCACTAAACAGGAGGTCTTATGGCCTTATCTTATTCTGCTTCTCCCTGGTCGCAATTCTGTGATCCAGCCCTTTGTCATATTCCAGCTCTGAAGTTAATGACGTCCTTCTTTGAGCCGCTTGAAGTAACTGCTGAGGCGTCATCAGCATAAGTTTAGAGTTAGGTTTTTTGTTTGTTTGTTTGTTCGTTCATTTGAACTTGGTTATTTTCCGGTGACTCTTTCTTTTGCTAGGCAATTGATTCTTGATGGTCAGTGGGATGAAGTTCTTCAATTTATTCAGCCTCTTGAGTGTATGGAAAAATTCGACAAGAAAAGGTAAAATAGAATGTATGTCAGAGTTCAGTTTTTTGAGTTGTGGAAAATACATGAAATTCTAAATATTGTGTTTGAAAGCAGTAGTTCTAAGTTTTTCACCTTAGCTTTTTTTTCTAACCTACATGCAGTTCCTGAAGTGTGTGCATGTGTTTTTTAACTTAAACTATAAAAAATATGTGCACACAGCTGTAATGAGTTTTTTGTTTGCTACACACTTTAGGAATATGGTGTATGTTGTACTATCTTTTTATAGTTGGTTGCTCTGTCATATTTCTGTTTAGGAAATGAGTATGATTGATGTACTTTTATTTTATTATTACCCTTCTAATGCTTTCAGAAATACTACATTAGAAGTAACAATTGAAAAAAAACATTTCTAGTTTAAGAAATAATTTTATGGTTATCAATTTGTTAAAATTTGAGATCAGAGTTCCTTGTCATTGTGATTTCTATGCTTAACTCAAAAATTAGCTGTAAAATACCCTGCTTGTTTCTAAAAGAATGTTCAGCTAGTGGATCAAGATGTGTGGTGTTTCACTTCTCACCTGCAGATTTCGTTACATTATAATGAAGCAGAAGTTCTTGGAAGCCTTATGTGTAAACAACGCAATGTCAGCGGAAGATGAGCCTCAGCATGTAAGAATTGTCTCTGTTTTGGGATTTTTTTTGTTATCAAGAAGTCTCTGGAGTTATTCTGCTTAAAGGCAAAGCAGAAGCTCCCAGCACTAAATACACACATTTTAGCTATTACCAAATGGTTTAATAAACAGTGGGGAAAATAATTGGTATCCTTTGGAAATGATGGTGGCTCCCAGATCTCAAATAGAATTGTAATATATAAGGGTTACTTGAAACTTAGCAGCATAGATCAGCGACTAAATGCTGTGTTTGTGGTCCTGATCCTGAGATTTACTTTATGCTAAAGTACAGGGCAGGCTCTTCTTTTTTTAAAATGCTCTGAAGCAAGCCTCAGAATCACAGAAATTTATAGTTGTAATAAGGACCAGGTGAAAGATTCTGGTTTGAATCAGTCTTAATTTCTGTTGCTTTTAGAGAAAAAGGACACAATTGTTTCTTTGGAGGGAGTAAGCGTGCACACAAAGGACTGATTCAGTTAAATGTGCAAACAGCAGGAGTTGTGAACTTAGATTTTTCTGTATGGGAAGAAACATTAACTCAATGTCTGACAAATAAGGTGTGCACGTTGTGAAATTAATTACAGTTTTTAATTTATGTTGCTCACACACAAATACTAAATTTCTAAACACAAAAATGTTATGATATTAAAAATTAAGAATGCCACTAGTTTTAAAACAATTTATTTTGTTTTCAAAACTGAATTGATTTTACTACTTTGTGCCGTTATGCATACATTGTACTATAGGGTTTTCTATTAACAGTGTAGAGAAAGCTAAAAGTAAGTCTTTATTTATAGCTGTAGAAGGAAGGTGTACTGTTCCTTTTATCACTCAATCTGTATACTGTTACTAGACAGCAGGAGAGAAAAAAATAATTCAGATTTATATCTTTTTTTTTTTTGTTTTGAATGTTACCAAATGTGTTGGCGTGTTGTGGATCAAAGGCTGCTGTATTGAGCAGATGCTAGGCAACATGTAAATGGTTTTTTATTATTTACGTCTTTGTAACTGAAAATACAAAGTTACATGTATTTAACATGGTTGTTGGATTTTAGCTATCAGTGAGCTTTGTACTAAAGCCCTCTCTTCATTTGGAGGTCTTCTGAGAACTTTTTGAACTTTTTAAACATTTTTAATAGAAGAACAGAAAATCTCGCTGTAAAAGCCAACTCAAAGTTGCATATCACTAGAAACTAGAAAAATCTGCAAGCCTCTTATAACTTATGCCAATAGCTTTTCATAGATGTAAAAAAAAGGAAGAAAAATCAGTTGGCTTTGAGAAGTAACCTTCTGTACTACAATAGAATTGAAGTCGTTCAGCTACAGATATAAAATTCTAAGCCTGTCAGACCTGCAGTGACATGAAAAAGGTCCATAAATCTGTAGAAAATGGAGAGGAGGGATTGCAGAGAGTCAAAGCAACCAGGAATTTGGCTCTGTTGTAACTACATTTGCATCAGAAATTTCAGACTCTATATTGTATGCCATTTTAATTAAATATAAACGGTAATAGTAATAAAAGAGGGATAGTGAAGAAATTCTGCTGCTGCCTGTTTTTCTTTGACCAACTGTTTTATTGTAGCAACATATGTACTACAAACTCCTCTGCTGATGTTAATATTTCTATAGCTGGAGTTTACAATGCGAGAGGCTGTGCAGTGCCTACACGCGCTGGAAGAATATTGTCCCTCTAAGGAAGACTACAGTAAGCTGTGCTTGCTACTGACGCTGCCTCGCCTGACCAACCACGCGGAATTCAAGGACTGGAATCCCAGCACTGCACGGGTTCACTGCTTTGAGGAAGCCTGCGTCATGGTGGCAGAGTTTATTCCTGCCGACAGGAAACTGAGTGAGGCTGGCTTCAAAGCAAGCAGCAATCGTTTATTTCAGCTTGTGATGAAGGGATTGCTTTATGAATGTTGTGTGGAATTCTGTCAGAGTAAAGCAACAGGAGAAGAAATCACAGAAAGTGAAGTATTGCTGGGCATTGATCTCTTGTGTGGTAATGGGTGTGATGATTTGGACCTTAGCTTATTATCATGGCTGCAGAATCTGCCAGCTACTGTTTTTTCTTGTGCTTTTGAACAAAAGATGCTTAATATTCATGTCGATAAACTCCTCAAGCCTACAAAAGCTGCATATGCTGATCTTTTGACGCCTCTTATCAGCAAACTTTCTCCTTACCCGTCATCCCCAATGAGACGGCCTCAGTCAGCAGACGCTTACATGACCCGCTCCCTAAACCCTGCCTTAGACGGGTTGTCGTGTGGATTAACAAACCACGATAAGCGAGTCACAGACCTTGGGACCAAAACTTCTCCAATGTCGCACTCCTTTGCTAACTTCCATTACCCGGGAGTACAGAACCTCAGCCGAAGTCTCATGCTGGAGAATACTGAGTGTCACAGCATTTTTGAAGAGTCACCAGAGCGGTAAGTACAAGTGTGGCTTTATTTTTACCTTTGCTGATGTTGTGCTTTATCTTACTGGTTTCTTACCTGCACTGTAACTTTGATCATAGTTGTAACGTGAAATTTGATTAAATTCTGTTCTAATTAAAAGTCTGTATACAAGGGGTTTTCTTCCTTATAGTTCTTCGATCAAAGTAAACTTTCATATTTGGTCTTGCCTTATGGATTCAATCTGGACTTTCTTAAAGAAAGTTGAAATCCTAGCACAGAGCACAAATATGCTCTGATTATGTAATAGAGTCTAGCTAAGATTTATGTTCAGCGTTAGTGAAATCTTTAACTCCAGATAAATAAATGGAATCTGTGGAATAGCCGTAACTTTATCTTCTTTCCCCATCCCATTCTGTCCTCAAGTGTCTGTAAATTTTGATCCTGCCACTCTAAACGATTAAGTATACTTAAAAGATTTATATGAAAAAATAGCACTGATGAAGTCAGTGGAAATGAATACATACCATCATTGTAGCATTCCTCTGTCACTTCACAATAGTAGTTTGGCTTAAATACTTGCCGTTTTCCAAAGCAAATCTGAACAAGGTTGATGAATGTATTAGATTTTTTATATTTGACTTGGGGATAGTTGGGGAACGATAGCAGTGAATGCTATTAATAACTTGTTTCAGTGCAATGTAGGCTGCAAAACTGACTTCTCTCCTTCCTTAAGAACTAAAGCCTGTATCAAAACTTCGCGTTTTACCTTCAGGGAGAAAAGTCCTGGTAACTAGGAGAAACGGTACTTGTCAATTAAGAGCTTATCATCATGATTTTGCTTGGCCCTTATTTCGATCAGCAGTTCTGCCCCTATCTGAATGTTACATCCATACCTCTCTAGAGAGCAGCTTCCAGCTTTTTTGACTGTTGAAGAACCAGGAGGGTAACTAGCATCGCACTTGGATGCACTGACCAGCAGAGGACACTTTTAGAGCTGTGGTGTTCCATCCTGGGTGCAGTTGGTGACATTGTCTATTAGTTTTGCCTTACAGCAATATTCTCTATCGTGTGTTAAGATAAAGACCAGCTGTAACTAAACTCAGTAAAAAGGAAACAAACACCATCATACTGATGCCAGTTCACCAATAGTAATGGAAATTTTTTACACTGATGTATGTCTTAATACACTCTCTTCATGCTTGTCTTGAAATATTTTGTTTGATTCTAAGCGATCAACTTAAAATCTTTGGTTTTACCAGCTTCCTCACAACTGGAGTTTTTGTGGATAGCTTAAGCTTTACAGAAGTATCTCTTCAGTTCCATTTTTTAAAAAGTGACCAAACTAATGAATTGTGCATCCTCTAATTGTACTCATCTGTATGCACAAACCTTAACATTTGTGGGTGTAGTCCAGGGACCAATGTTAAAACTGGTTCTTGAAAGGTTTCTTGTTTCCTTTTTCACTTTTAGTATACTGGAATAATTCTGCACAAGTAGATTTACCTTGTGGGCTAAGTAAAGTGGTAAATTGCTGCAGTTTTTCTTTGTGTAGTCTTTTACATTTGATGTTAAGTGAAGTTGATGGATATTAACGTGTTTTTTCATTAATTAATACATCTCTTGAAGGTTAGAGTTAGGTTAAGGAGCCAGACCCATAGTTTTCAAGATGTTAGATTTTTCAGAAAAAATGTGACTTCAGATTGTCTGATTTAAATGGCAATATTTGCAAGGGTGGAAGCTGGGAAACTGAGCTTTATGTAAATCTGGTCCTTGCACATGACAGAAACACGGTATTTCTTTTATAAGTTGTACTCAGCAAGCAATTATTTGTCTTTTAGTCAGCTGAGTTACTTTTGTTATTCTACTCCAAAAGTTCAAAATAACTTTATCTAGTCACTAGGTGAGGAGGCCTTTGTTTACGTGTTTATCTGTGCCATCAGATTTTACTCTAGAATGTTATCTTTTCTCTGCTTCCCAGAGGATTTTCTACTCTTAATTTTTCTCAATTAAGTTTATCTTCTTTTCCATGTTGCTGCAAGAAGTGATACTCCTGTGGAGCCACAGCATCCCACCAGCAGTGAGACTTTGTGCCAGAGTTCAGTTCCAGAAAATGAATCAGTTAATGGAGCACAGAGTCAGGGATCAGCCAAACAAGAGAAAAATGAGGTAGTGGTGGTTTGTTTAAAAATAATGAGGCCCTTTGAGCTCTGTTCTGATCACTTCATAATGATTTGCCTTTGTGTTGAGAACTTCATGCATGACAATGGGTTGCTTTGAATCTTGTTTCTACTATTGAGAAAATACCATACTGCTTCTTGTTTAAGAAACTACTTTTTTTCCCTCCATTGTATAAAGTTCTACTGTTGTTTGAGTTGGTAATGCAGCTGATTAGTGTGCCTTCTCACATCAGGTGTTTCTAAACTGTTGTGTATATCTTAAAAAAAAAAAAAAAAAAAAAACACACAAAAAAAAACCAAAAAACCTTTGCAGTACTCAAAGCCAGCAATGTTAGATTAAACAATGCTGAAGAACCCTCTTAATGTTTTAGCAAGGAATTTGGCATTTAGCCTGCAATTTTTGGTGTTAACACCAGGTTTCCTAGGTCATCTTATATAATTTTCTGTCTAGAACACAGAAAATAAAATTGGGTAATTCCCTAGTATGTGTATCTTTGCTATTCAGAATCCAATAGCATAACCTTTTTTGCAGGTTTTAACCTCCATAACCATCTTTGAAGACTTGTGCCTTGGCTATACTTTTTTCCTTTTTTATCCTTAACAGCAATATGGAGAAAGTAAAATAATATTTCAGTAGGAAACAATGAAAACAGTTACCTATTTCTGTTCCTTTTCCACCGTTTTCAATATCTGTTTCTTAATTCAGTACTGATGAATAACATCGAGTATATGGTCTGTTTTGTTTGCAGACTCCAGTTTGATTTTTCTTAAGTAAACTTTGTCTTGTCTTATGACGCCTATATGGTACTGAAAGCCGGTCTAGTCTTGACAGGGCCCTGTTCTTGTTCTCTGGATACTTCAGTGAGGCAACAGGACCTATTGGAGGATTAACAAAGTCCTCCAAGCTTGAGGACTTCACTCCCCTCCAGGACTTTGCTGAGTAACTTCTCTGCTGCAACAGAGTTATATATGCACATTGGGAATAAAGGGAGGGAGGAAAGAGCTTAGCTGGATGTGTAACAGAGCAGGCTTTGAAAGGCAAAAAATGGACGCAAAATTTATAGGAGATGCTGAAGACAGGAGATGCTGTGCTATAGGTGAAGATGTTGGCCAGACTGTTATACACAAGTAGAAAAGAATGTAGTACCCAATCCGATTTCACCTTGGTTTGTTTTCCACATCCTAGTGGTACATGTGTATACCTGTGTGAGTAAGAAATTGATTTAAGTTTCTTTTCGTAGCTTTATTTTTGCATTATTCCTGCAGAGATTGAGTTAGGAGTTTACAGAATTGAGCATGTGGGCAGAATATTTTAGGTTTAGGTGTTAGTAATAATGATGCAGAATCCAAAGGATCACAGGATTGGATCCAATTGCAACAAACAAGTATCAGTCATGAAAAGAAGTATAGACCAGAATATACCTGTTGCTTAGAAAGATTATAACCCAGTGACTGGGAAATAGTTCAGATACGTGAAATACAGAGAGTTAATGCTTTCTAGACTTCTGAAGATAGCTGTGGAGTTCCTAAATTGCAAGTATTCATTGCGGGAAACCTAAGGTGGTAAACTTCTTAAAAATGCAACAGTGTTAGGGAATCCATTATGAACCAAAAAATTACTGTGTCAGAGAACATGAAATCATAACAAGTATTTTTTTTAGAAGAAATGCAAAGGCTCATAGTTATGAAGAAAGATCCTCTGCATGAATTGTCTGAAGTAATGCAGAGTTATCAGGATGTCCTTACACAACTTAAAATCACTAGATGACGAAGATGTCACTTTCAAAAACAGACAAACAGGAAAAAAAACACCAGGGCTTTTTTAATTTTACTATTGTTTTTTCCCACTGGTTGGTAAATATGTACTTAAGGGGTTTTTGTGTAGAAAATGCATGATACTTCAGTGTTGACATTTTAGCCTTAGTCTAAAATGCTTTTGGTTTTCTGTAGAGTGTTCTTGTTTGTTCATTTTTAACTTCTCAACTGTTTTTTGATAGTGACACAGAGGGAAAGCGAGGTTGGGGGAATGCAGAAGGCAGTGAGTCTTGGGGAGCTGTGGAAGATAAACATAGTATGTAAAGGGGAAGAGACTATGAGAAAGGCAGCTCAAGTATTTGTGTTTGGTCCAGAAAGTAAGGAATTTTAAAGTTAGAACAAGGCACCAATTTCAAAAGTAAGATGTGACACTTGCATAGATCACTTCAAAGCTGGCTACTGGGAGAGGTAAATTGGCTCTGCAAACTGATTCCAGGGAGGTGTCAACATGACAGAAAACACTAAATCTTTAGTGAAAATATGACGTAGAATGTGGAATGTAGCTTATATTGTTTGCTGATTTTTATTTTCAGTTTCTGATCACCTACTTTTGAAGTTACGTAGGAAAGAAGAGTCTGCTTCTGAATTACGACAGAATTAATTCGATAGTGAATAGTGTAGGCTGGCAGTGATTTCCTTGTTTAATATATAAATTGTATTTGGTTTTAGGGACGAAAGAAAGCATTGCTCCTCAGAGGAGAATCTGTTGGCCTTTTGATACCTGTATTGAAATAACAAACCAGAAGTTGAATATTTAGGTTAAATACTGCAATTAGCTATTTAATTTTCATCTGTAATTCTCATTTCTTTTCAGCTTCGTGATTCAACAGAGCAGTTTCAGGAATATTATAGACAAAGACTACGTTACCAGCAGCACTTAGAACAGAAAGAGCAACAACGACAGTTGTACCAGCAAATGTTGTTGGAAGGAGGTGTAAATCAAGAAGATGGAGCTGACCAGCAACAGAATCTTACTGAACAGTTTCTTAACAGGTTTGGGGAGTTTTGTTGCTTCTTCTTCCACCCACTCCTATCCCTCCTCAAGTTCTCATAATAACCTATTTTGATCTTTTTTCTTTTTTTTTTTTTTTTGTCTGGGATGGTTTGTTATTAGATCTATCCAGAAGCTAGGAGAATTAAATATAGGTATGGACAGTCTTGGAAATGATGTACAAACACTTAGCCAGCAATGTAACGGGAGCAAAGGGAATGCATCTACCAATCCAGCAAGTAACTTTACATCACCACCTTCAGACGCTAGTCAGAGGATAACTGATAGCCAAAACATTAATACCAGCACTCCTCGAAAGCGTGGATCAGCCAGTCAGATACCCTTTCCTGAAGAGTCACCTGTACAGGGGAATCAAATGTAAGTTCGGGACTAGAAATACCCTTCTGTTATCACTGTGGGAGGAGCTGTTTGTATTTATTTTTAGCGATGAAATTAATTTGTCATTGAATAGGAGTATTTAGCTCATTATCAGTGTTCTTCTCTATATGTTTTTATAGGGATTATAAATTTTTTTTTTGATAGCACACATGACAAAGTGATTATTCGTTACGGCTTACATTTTATGTTTATTTTCAATTTCAGACTGTTTATTCCATCTTATATGTATAGTTCTTTATTTTGTGTTCTACTAACTTTCTGAAAGCTTTTTCATTAAATACAAACTAGATGGAAAAAGAGGCAGGGCAGAGTGGGAACTGGATTTCTTCGGTTAAATAAAGGTAGTGCTGACCTGAAAGCAACAACTGTTTTTGCATGTGTACATGTATATATGTGTATCCATGTGTGTGTTATGGAGTGAAAACAAATACTTTTATCTTGCATTCACTTGTTCAGTGCCTGAAGTTGCTGCAAAAACAGCAACCACTTGTAAAAATAGTAGTTTAATGATAAGGAATCAGACACGCATAACACTTCTCCACACAAATTATTTCTGAGAATGACTGAAACTGTAACTTTATTTAAAAAAAATACTTCCAAACAAATCTGTCACTTCTCTTGTTTTTTCTGTCTTGTGAATTTAAACTCTTCACCAAATCAGTGTACCAGAACATGCTGCTGCTCAGCCACAGTTGGAAGACTCTTCAGGGAATTTAACTAGGACAAGAGGTGATGAGGTGAGTTTTCTTATTGTCCTTTACAACTTGTGTTTTCACAAGATTCAGTATTTAATCCTGAGTGTGTGACATCCTCTTGTTAATAGATACTTAGAATGACTTTTGGTTGATACAGTACCTACAAAATCACAGAATCACTGAGATTGGAAGGGACGTCTGAAGATTGAGTACAAACCCACTGCTCAAAGAAAGGTCAATGAGTGCAGGTCCTTTGGAGCTGGGTCCAGTTGAGTTTTGAGTATCTCCAAGGATGGAGACTCCGCAACCTCTGTGGACAACCTGTTCACACTTCTGACCACCCTCATGGTGTTTTTAAAACAACAAAAAAGTTTTAAGTGGAATTTTCTGTATTTCAGTTTGTGTTCATTGACTCTTGTCCTTCACTGGATACCACTGATAAGAGTTTTGCTCAATCTTCTTTACTTCTCCTATCAGATGTTCATATACAATGATGAGATTTACACACACGCACCCTGAAGAGCCCTTCCGATCTCCAGGCCAGACAGTCCCAGCTGTCTCAGCCTCTCCTTCTACAACAGAGGTTCCAGTGGGATGTCTTTTACAGCCATTGTTTTTTGTTTTCCAGGTTGAAACTTTGTTGGACTCCAGTCAGTAGGGTCTGATTTCAGGGGAATAACTTTGCAATAAGTACATTCCAAAGTTTCTGCATCAATTAAATAAAAATTTTAGAAGAGTGGTGAAGTTGTGTGGAGGATGATGTAATAAAACTTGACATAGTTTAATGATAACTTTGTGTTATCTAAAGGGTGAAAAGCTGATTCTTATGTTTAGTGTTATATTTGTTTTATAAACTCTGGTTATGAGTTGGACTGTTTTCACTAAAAACGCAGCTCTGCTCCCCTTGCAAGTTTCACGCAGATCAGATGTGTTTACTCAGAAATAAACTGTAATATGGTGCTTTTGAGATGGGCTGTTCAGAAGAACAAAAGCTGTTGGAAGCCTGGAGGGAGAATGAGAAATGTTAATCTAATGTTAGCTGTATGAGTGAGTTGAAGAAAAGGACTTTTTGAAGTATGCTGTTCCTCGACCTGGAGTAGACATTCTCTCACAAACCTGTAATTTGAGTAGTTTAGCCTAGTGCTGCTGCTTATTAATACTTATAGGACAATAGTCTTACATTATTCAGCAAAACAATTACATCCACTTTTAAATGTCCCGTTTTATGCTGAAGAACCTAATTTGACTGTTGTCCTTCTACACAGGATGACAAATCAAAAAAGCAGTTCATTTGCATTAATACTCTAGAAGACACCCAAGCTGTCAGAGCTGTAGCCTTTCATCCCAGCGGGAGTTTGTATGCTGTTGGCTCCAACTCCAAAACTTTGAGGGTGTGTGCCTATCCAGAAGTAATTGACCCAAGGTAAGAAAGCTTGTATAATAATTTCTTTTTCTATAGCATAGCACTTCCTCCTCCTGTAGCTACTGATATCTGTACCTTTCATACCTTTATTTTGTTGTTGTAAATAGTGCAATGCTTTCCATAGACGCTTGAATTGTCAAACAAAAAAGAAGTGATCTACTGAAGAATTTGTATATTTGTGGGCTACTTTTTTGCTTTTTTCCATTTCCATTCATTTCCAAGATGTATTGCCACAGTACCACACCTTTCCTTACAAAAGCGTTATTTTTGTCTCAGCAGAAGGGCTTTTCTGTGGTTACTGTGATAGCTTCTGGTTTTGATATTCCAGCTTTAACAGTGGGAGAAAGCATGTGTCAGTTCCCAAGCCAGCACAAGTTGGGCTTCATGACAGGCAGTTTCTGGCAGGACAGACAGTAGAGGAAGCGGTATCTTCTTCAGCCTTTACAGCAAAATTTGCCAGAGCATGTCTGTTGGCCTGTTGTTACTACAAACATTGTTTTTCTGTTACTTTGGTTCCTTGGCAGGAAAAGTGCTATTTATTTAACTGGATGCACCTAGTCTTTGCTGTTTTCTTTGCACCCATTTTTTTAATAGGAGGGGAAAAAATATTTTTTCACCTGGAAATAAATATTGCCATCTCAATAACTGTCTCCTTGTCTCTGCTCCAGTTACATTTTCTTGGAGTAGGTGGGAAGTGCAGGCATCAAAAACTTCAGTTTCAGAAGGAGCTACAAGTATAAGTGACTTTATCTGAAACACCTTCTCAGTTTAGGACTCATGTTCAGGATTCCAAAGTGTTCAAAAAGTAATCTGATTATTTTTTCTTCTTTTCCTCCCTAAGTATCATCAGTAAGGTAGCCTTTGAAGTTTAATTCCAAAGTATTCATTGACAATGCCTGACACACAAGAAAAGGTCGATTTCGCTTATACCCGATGCAAGCCAGCTTGCCGGGCTTGAAGCCCCGACAACCTCCTCTTGGTTGGTAAACAGTGCAGAGTATTTTCAGTGGAATGGACACGTGTGTCCTTATTGACTAACTCTGCTCTCATGCAACTTATTGTAATTATTGGGAAAGGTTAGATTGATGCTGCAGCCTTAGTCTCTAGTTACAGTGCACAGTCAGATGTGACAAGGGACACGGTGCGTCTGAGTATGAAAGGAATACTGAGATTTCCTTAATTCTGAACTTGTGCTACTTCCTCTTACTGTTTTTTTCACTATGCATACAGTCTGCCAAGAACATTTCATCACGGGATTTACAAGTCAGCAGAGAGATTACATTATCTTAAAGATATTCTAATCTTTGTAACAACTCAAGTCTAGACATACATTCAAAATTTTAGTGTTTTTCAAATAGCTATAGTTGTGTAGAGTATCTGGTAAATAGCAGTTGTGTAATTGTACAAGTTTTGTTGTGGTTTTTTTTTTAAGTTCTTAAAACCATCCTTCAAACTATTATGATTGAGGACAGGTCAGTTTTCTGGTTTTGTTTCCCTTTCTCTAAAAGTATAGTAGTAGTGTGCTTTTTTTCACATGTTTGAGATTAAACACTGATAGATATATATTAGAATTCTGCAGATGTTGCTCAAATAATTACGGTGCTTCCACGGAGCTGATTGGCAGCATGTGGTCTCTGTGCTGGGCAGGTGCTCCCACATCCTGACAGTCAGTGATTCTCAGCTGCTGTCTCCACTTCTTAACAAATGTTGTGAATCCAAGCTCGTGATATAAAAGTGATACAAGGCATTAGGCCTCTTAGGAAGCTTTGTAGCATGTATTGAATGGTGATCCTGATTTAGGCTAATCTGTCATGGATTTCCTTTCTGGCAGCAGTATAAAATTAGGTTCCATGTAGATTTATTTTAGTTTTCCTAACTAAAGCCATATTTATCTCAAAAGTTTTTTAAACAGATGTAAATGTTTGTCTTCTGTTTCTCTCTGCCTCTTCTGTTCAAGTATTTATAGTATGACTGATAAATTTTTCAGTAGCAATTTATTTATTTTTAATTTCTGTTGTTGATGTTACTGAAGTGAATGTTGATGGATTTGGATAGAGCAGTACTTTATCTTAAGTGCTTGACTACTTCCTGCTGTGGGAACAGAGAAATAGCATTGTAGGAAGTTAATCAATTGAAATAGAGGAAATGTACATTAAGGGGACTGTTCCTTTTATTTCAGCCATGTGTAAAGCTGATCTGGTTTCAGAAATAAGAATGTATGGTTTGTTTAGATGCTGTGAAGATTCCTGCATTAACATACAATGATGAATGTGTGTTTCTTACACTGACTGCTGTATCGGATTTTCTAGTAGATGAGAAGCTTTGAGAGTCACTTTATTCAACAAAAAATATCCAATGCACAGGTCATTATGATGGACATGTATGAGTCTTTTTCATTTGTATAGTTTTGTGTTATTTATTTAATGGCCAAAGAGGAGACAGTACTTGACTTAGGGCAGCGTTTTTGTGTCTTCCCAGCTGGGGTTAACAGAGAAGCATTTTTGTTGGTCCTTTTAACTACTTTAAGGGCTTGATGAGTCCCACTCATTCTGACAGCAAGGATGGTATAGACAACAACTTTTTGGATAGAACAGCAGGCTTCAATTTTTATTGTTACAGTACTGCTAGGTGCAAAACCAGCCTCAAACACAAGTATATGGAGCCCAGCCATATAGTTACGCTGTCATACCAAACATAACACCCAGTTAGGGATTGTGTCTGGTGGATGGGGAAACTAGAAGAGAAATACCTTCTTGCACACATACAGAGTCTGCTTTCTTCTTTCAGGAATCTGTATTTTCCAACCTGCAGCCTGATAGTTTAGTCCCAGACCCAGCCTTTGGCTGTGCAAGCTGCACTGGGCACTACCATAGATAGCGTGCGCCCTGTGAGCGCCCTTGGCCTACTGTTGCTTAACTGAACTCAAGCACGTTCAAAAGTGGCCACAGGATCACGATGTTGAGGTATACAGGATGTAGAGAAAAATCCAGCCAATTTAAGACTCTGGGGATAAGATTTCATTGCTTCTACCTACTAATTACTATATTTTATCTGTATCAACCCTTTTATAGATGAAGAAACTTAAGTTCTTTTTGCATATCTTATCAGAAGTACAATAGGAATGTGAGGGAAAAACTGAGAAAATGTGTTGGAGAAGATTCTTTTGTTTTGTCTTAGATCACATGTATATGTTTCCATGCAAACAGTCACATGTATTTCATGCTACCTAAAATAATACAAAAACATTATTTTCATTTTAGAATACATTATTTTCCTGTGAATAAAAGGAAATTGGATATTTTTCTTTTCTTTTTTTTTTCCAGTGCTTATAATACTCCTAAACAACCTGTCGTTCGCTTCAAAAGGAACAAGCATCATAAAGGATCAATCTACTGTGTAGCCTGGAGTCCCTGTGGGCAGCTGTTAGCTACTGGTTCTAATGATAAATATGTGAAAGTACTGCCTTTTAATGCAGAAACTTGTAATGCAACAGGTAATGTGCATGTGTATTTAGTTTAAAGAGTTTATTTTCAAATATTTGTCCAATGTTTGACAAAATCATTCAAATTACATTGCTTACGTAGTTAATAGGTTTCGTTGTTTTTATTCTAATACTTCGGTTAACTTAGTTGCTGTTCCCTTTCACCATCCCTGTAGTTTCTGTCCTGCAAAGAGCTATTGAGGGGCTGGGGATTATCTTTTGGGTTTAGTTTGTTTTTTTGTTTGATTGCATTTTGGTTTTGTTTTGGAAGACTGTCTGGTATTGTTCTGTCTTCTGGTAAATCTTTTTCACATAGGGTAAAACAACCAGATGTTCTTACCCAGCTCTAGTTCTTGACTGTCAGTAGGAATTTATTTCCCCTTCCAGTTTCCCTTTTTCTTGCCTAGTTGTGTCATCATCTGAAAGTCTAAGGTTTCTCTCCTAGCAAATGTTACTTTCCATGCCCAACCCTCCTAGCCAATACACTGAACATGGCTCTTATCTTTTCTGTTTTGAACTTAGGCTATCTTGTCCTATGTGGTTCAGTGTTCTCAATGATCCCTCCTGGCAGAGAAAAACTTTTTAGTTTACCATAGTTTAAAAAAAGAAATAAACGTACTCTGTAAACCTTGGCTGGAATTGGCTGTGGAGATGGTCCATGTACCTTTTGCAAAGCTTTAGGAACTGTAGGAATCTCAAGCAACATTCAATAAAAACAAGATTCTTAGAGATTTTATTTGAACTCTGGTAACTGAAATGGAGTATTCTATGGAAGTGCACAACAGTGTTTATACTCGGTAGTATACCCACCCTTGCCTAAAATATTCTGCGTTATCAGTGTAGCTGCTTTGAAGATTGCAGTGCTAATGGTGATAAACAAAGTATGTCTCATTTTGTTCATGGATTTTTAAACTTTTTTAGGACCAGATTTGGAGTTCAGCATGCATGATGGGACAATCAGAGACCTTGCTTTTATGGAAGGCCCAGAAAGCGGTGGTGCTATTTTAATAAGTGCTGGAGCAGGGGACTGTAACATTTACACAACGGATTGTCAGCGAGGACAAGGCCTGCATGCTCTGAGTGGTCACACTGGTATGTGTGTTGTCGCTTCTCTTGCACTGAACTCCGTATTATATTGTAATAAACTTGTTGGTTGGGGTTTTTTTTAATGTCTTTGTGTTTTTTCTTTCTAGCAAGACTTTTTTTCTCTCCAAATAGCTCTTGAGGTATTGGAGACAGGGGTAGCTGTTTTTAAATACGTTGGCTGTTAAGTTAGCGGAGAGAGCGCATGCGTCATTCCAGAGAGGATAAAAAGCTGGGTAATGCCTTATGCTGCTGTTGTTCTAGATCATGCAACGTGCAGGTTTTCCATAGACTGTTAAATCTATGAATGCAAAAGTATAATCAGAACTGTAATATTTAATTATTTGATTAATGATATTTAATCAAATAAAGAGGTCCTCTTGTTCACAGGTCATATTTTAGCACTTTATACCTGGAGTGGGTGGATGATTGCGTCTGGATCCCAAGACAAGACTGTAAGATTCTGGGATCTAAGAGTGCCAAGCTGTGTTCGTGTTGTGGGAACAACGTTTCATGGAACAGGTGAGACTTGCTATCGTGCTTCTGATCGTTCTTGCATAAAAATATGTTTTGAAGATGTTTAAGTAGTGTAGAGTGCATGTAAGGGGTTTTTGCATCACAGAATGGAGGCTTGGCTTTAGAAGAAAGAAGTTGTGAGGACATCTTTACCTGTGTGGTTTTGTTTGGTGTTTTTTTTGAAGTAACGTTTCCTTTCAAAAGTTGGCTAGTGTTTTGCCTTTCAAACAGACATTTCCAAGTACATTAAAATAAAACAAGACG